GGGGCATCACACTACCGGACTTCAAACTATACCACAAGGCTACAGTAATCAAAACAGCATGGTACTGGTACCAAAACAGAGATATAGACCAATGGAACAGAACAGAGGTCTCGGAGGCAACACAACATATCCACAACCACCTGATCTTTGACAAACCAGACAAAAACAAGCAATGGGGAAAGGATTCCCTGTTCAATAAATGGTGTTGGGAAAGCTGGCTAGCCATGTGCAGAAAGCAGAAACTGGACCCCTTCCTGACACCTTACACTAAAATTAACTCCAGATGGATTAAAGACTTAAACATAAGACCTAACACCATAAAAACCCTAGAAGAAAATCTAGGCAAAACCATTCAGGACGTAGGTGCAGGCAAGGACTTCATGACCAAAACACCAAAAGCATTGACAACAAAAGCCAAAATAGACAAATGGGACCTAATCAAACTCCACAGCTTCTGCACAGCAAAAGAAACAATCATTAGAGTGAATCGGCAACCAACAGATTGGGAAAAAATTTTTGCAGTTTACCCATCCGACAAAGGGCTGATATCCAGAATTTACAAAGAACTAAAACAGATTTACAAGAAAAAAACTAACAAGCCCATTCAAAAGTGGGCAAAGGATATGAACAGACACTTTACAAAAGAGGACATACGTGAGGCCAACAAACATATGAAAAAATACTCATCATCACTGGTCATCAGAGAAATGCAAATCAAAACTACATTGAGATACCATCTCACGCCAGTTAGAATGGCGATCATTAAAAAATCTGGAGACAACAGATGCTGGAGAGGATGTGGAGAAATAGGAACACTTTTACACTGTTGGCGGGAGTGTAAATTAGTTCAACCATTGTGGAAGACAGTGTGGCGATTCCTCAAGGACATAGAAATAGAAATTCCATTTGACCCAGCAATCCCATTACTGGGTATATATCCAAAGGATTACAAATCGTTCTACTATAAGGACACGTACACACGAATGTTCATTGCAGCACTGTTTACAATAGCAAAGACCTGGAACCAACCCAAATGCCCATCGACGATAGACTGGATAGGGAAAATGTGGCACATATACACCATGGAATATTATGCAGCCAACAAAAATGATGAGTTTGGGTCCTTTATAGGGACATGGATGAACCTGGAAACCATCATTCTCAGCAAACTGACAGAAGAGCAGAAGATCAAACACCGCATGTTCTCACTCATAGGCGGGTGTTGAACAATGAGAACACATGGACACAGGGAGGGGAGTACTACACACTGGGGTCAGTTGGGGGGAAATAGGGGAGGGACGGTGGGGGGTGGGAAGCTGGGGAGAGATAGCAAGGGGAGAAATGCCAGATGTAGGTGATGGGGAGGAAGGCAGCAAATCACACTGCCACGTGTGTTCCTATGCAACAATTTTGCATGTTCTTCACATGTACCCCAAAACCTAAAATGCTATAAAATAAATAAATGGGAAAAAAAAAAAAAGAAATTAGAAGAAAACAGGAGGTTATTGGTAGACTTCTGGAGGATGTAAAATGGGAACTGACAGAATTGAAGAAAAGGAGAGTAAAGGAAGGGACATAAAAGACAAAAAATGAAAATGCAAATAAATTATACAGAGGCAAAAAAGATAAAGGAGAATTAGAGAGAAAAGGACATATACTGAATACAGGCAAAGGAGAGCCGTCATATGCATAGCTGCAACCTCAGAAGAAGAAAGCCAAAACAATGGAATAGGATAATTACTTTAAAATATAATTCAATAAAACTTTTCTAAAATAAAAAAGCCTTAAATCTACTTATTAAAAAGATATCCGTTGTATCAGTGCAAAGCCATCTGGAATCATCAACACAAAGACATATCCCAGAAAAATTTTTGAAAAGAATCCTTTAGGTAGTCAGGCAAAAAGATAAAATTAGTTAAGGAAAAGAAAATGAGGTTGACATCAGATTTATCCACAGAAACATCTAACTTCAGTAGAGAGTGGAGCAGGATCCATAAGACAGCAAGTTAGAAGGCAGGAGCCAAAGATTTTCTATCTAATAAAGCGCCCCTTCAATATCAAGACTCAAGGAAAAAGACAGCTTTGAGCATACCAGGATTTGGGTAATATTGCTTCCTCATATTTTCTAGGGGAGCATCCTAAAGGAGGTGCTGTAGACTAACACGAATCAACAGAGGTATGTTGGCAAAAGAACCAGTGGCCAATGTTTAAATGAACCAACATGACAGGAAGTTCCTGTTGGCTACATATAGATACCCTTTAAGATTTTTTTCTATTCCCAATTTGTTGTAATTTTTTTTTGTTAGATCATTAATGGCTGTTGAATGTTTGGAAATACCTTTTCTGCATATATTGAGACAGCCCTATGTACTTTTCTCCCTTTAATCTTTAAGTGCTGTGAATTATGTGAATATCCTTTCTAATGTTAAACTTTCCTTTTGTTAAGAAATAAGTATCTGGCCATGTTATTTTATGTTATTTTATATTATTTAATTATATTTCTAAGTTTATTAATAATTTTTATGTAAGATTCATGAAACAAATTGTGTTTAAATTTTTCTTTCTTAAATGGCCCTTGTCTGGTTTAAGTATATATTAAATCCTGAAACTAAAAAAAAAAAAAAAAAAAAAAAAAAAAAAGAAGTTTGACTAAGACCTCAAAAACAAAAGCAATAAAAATAAAAATAGACAAATGGTACTTAAACTAGACAGCTTCTGCACAGCAAAACAAATAATCAACAAAAGATAACCTGATGAATGGGAGGAAATATTTGCAAACCATTCATTTGACAGGGAGCTAAGATCCATAATATACAAGGAACTGAAACAACTCAACAGGAAAAACATAAACAGTCCCATTAAAAAGTACACAAAGGACACGAATAGACATTGCTCAAAAGAAGACATGTAGCCAGCGAATAGGTATTTGAAAAAAATGCTCAACACCACCGATCAGACAAATGCAAATCAAAAACCAGAATGAGATACCATCCTACCCCAGTCAGAATGGCTATTAATTAAAAGGCAAAGTCAAAAAATAACAGATGCTGGTGAGGATGTAGAGAAAATGAAACTCACACACTGTTGGTGGGTATGTAAACTAGTACAGCCACTATGGACAGCAGTATGGAGATTTCTCAAAAAACTAAAAATAGAATTACCATTCAATTCAGCAATTTGCTGCTATCTACCCAAAGTAAAAAAAAAAAAAAAAAAAAAAAAAAATCAGTATATAAAAGGAATACCTGCACTCACATATTACAGCATTATTTATAAAAGCAAAAATATGGAATTAACCTAAGTGCCCATCAATGGATGAATGGATTAAAAATGTGATATACATATATACAAAATGGAATACTATTCAGCCATAAAAAGAATGAAATCATGTCATTTGCAGTAACATAGATGGAACTGGAAGTTATTAAGTGAAATAAGCCAGGCACAAAAAGATAAATATCATGTTCTCACTTATATGTGGGAGCTAAAAATTTGAATAATATATGGAGGTTGAGAGTGGAAAAATAGATAATAGAGACTGAGAAGAGTGAATGGCAAGAAGGGGGAGGATGAACAGAAGTGCATTTAAGGGTACAAAGATTCAGTAAAATATAAAGAATAAATCCAGTGTCTGATAGTGGAGTAAAATGACTATACTTAACAAAAATATATTGTACTCAGGTCATGGACACTCTAAGTACCCCAATTTGGTCACTACACTTTAGATACATGTACCGAAATTTCTCATGTACCTCAAAATTTTGTGCAAATAAAAAAACTTTAGAAAAAAATAAAAATTTTTAAATAAATCTTAACCTTATAACTTTTTTACTTTACAAGCTAGCTTAAAACACACGTTGTACAGCTGTACAGAAATATTTCCTTTCTTTATACTTTTATTCTATTAACATAAGCATTTTTCTATTTTAAAATTTTACTTTTTAAACTTTTTAATTATAATCTATGACACAGACACACAAATTAGTGTAGGCCTAGACAGGATCAGTATTACCAATATTACTCTTTCACCTCCGCATCTTGTCCCACCACATCTCTGGGGTAACAACACACATGGAGCTGTCATCTCCTATGACAGCAATGCATTCTTCTGGAATACCTCTTAAAGGACCTGCCTAAGGCTGTTTTACAGGTAACATTCTCTTAAAGAGGAGTACACTAAAATAATTATTTAAAAGTATGGTATAGTAAATACATAAGCAAGTAGCATCCTCATCTATTATCATTATCAAGTACTATGTACTGTACATAGCTGTGTGTGCTACACTTTTATGAGTGGCGCACAGTTTATAACAGCATCACCACAAACACGTGAGTAATGCCTTGCCAATCACATCGCTAGGCAGTAGGAACTTTTCAGTTCCGTTATAATTTTATGGGACTGCCGCTGTTTGGAGGCACATGACTGTACATGTACATATATTTCCTAGTGTAGTCTATCCCACAAATGCGAGTAAAATATCCATTAGTGTCATTAATGTAATTTCTCAACTTAGAAAAGTTATTATCTCTACGTACAAAATCACTTATAATCATCCGTATATATTTTTGAGTGTATATATTATACAATAAGTGATGGCAAGGTTTTTCAAAGAGCTCATTATTCATTTATAAATGGGAAAAAAAAAAAAAAAAAAAAAAACCCTTCAGAAATACAGGACAGAAGAGAAAGCGGCGTGCCTGAGAGCAACTAAGGAGACCTTAGCATTGAGAGCTCCTGCGGGCGGCGCTCCCGGCGTCGCCGGCGCCTGGCCCCTGGTGGGTGCGCCAGCTCTGCTTGGAGAGGTTTCCGCGCGGGGACTCGAAGGCGCTCCCACGGAAACTGGGGAGCGCCCAGGCCCTCCCTGCCCATGCAGCCCCCCAGCCCGACACCGGCGGCCCCTCGCCCGGCTGCCGAAGCTCCGCCGACCGCTGGCAGGAGGACGCGCGGACGCCCTTACCGGACGCGCCGACGCCCTTACCCGCCGCGCCGACGCCCTTACCCGCCGCGCTGTGGTCCGACGGCAGTCGTGGCTCTTCCTGGAAGTGGCGAAGGTGCGGCCTGCCCACGCCAGACAGCGCCAGGCAAGAGCGACTGGGAAGGACCCCGCAGCACAGCCCTACCACGCCGGGCTGCGACGCCTCCCGGCCGTAACCACCTGACCCAGCGTCCTGCCCGAGCTCCCGTGAAGAGGCCAGAATGGGGGTGGGGTCCCGAGCCCGGCGCAAGGGATGCTGGGTGCCGGGCAGGTGCAGAGAGGCCCCGGCTCCTGCGAGATTCCACTGCGGGTACGCTGCGGCCCGCGACGTGACACCGACGGTGCTGGGGGTGGGGGGGTCGGGGGCGAGGTGGGTTGTTGGAGGTGCCGTGTGCGGCCCAGAAGTGTGCGCTAAAGACAGATCAGATACGGTGCCCAAGTTAAAGACTCTAGTCTTACCTTTCTACCACCTGGGTATGGCCTAATGGGAGAAATGTGTGCTTCTGCAGAACAGGTGACTTAGATCTCTGAAAGAGATGACTTGCACTTAAGATTTTCACAAGTGAGCGTGATCTTTCATCAAAAACCCTCACTTATTAGTAAAGGATCGTATGTATGCAATAAAACAGCTCTAAGAGGTATAAAATTCTAAGAAAAATAATTACATATATATTAAAATATCCCTATTTCTTTTTAAACGTCTTATAAAAATTTAGTAAGTTAATGTCCTATATTTCACTTACTCAACAACTACAGTATTTATTGAGCACTTACTGTGTGCCAGGCACTGAGCTAGGCACACAAAACACCTGGGTGACTTCATATTTCTTAGTGGAATCCACAGGAAAAAAACAATGTAGAGATTTGTTGAGGCCTACTGTATCTAAGGCTGTGATTAATATTTTAAAAATCATCTTCCCGTTTCTATTATAATATTAAGCTTGAATATATAAGCATTCAGTGTATTACAATAAAATCTATTTAAGAATATTAAGGTATCGGGAATAAGGAAATATGTCACTTTAAAAAGGAAAATCATTTTGGAAATAATGTTTGTATATGCCAATAATCATTGCCATTTGAATAAAATTGGCCAAAAGTTGAGAGTGGTAACTTAATAAAATATCAGTCAATAGATTGTCTAAAACAAAATGAAATCAACAAAAAAGACAGAATATGAAGGACCACCCAAGGCCACCTTCACATCCAGTGTTCCTTATCTCAGCAAATAGCAATTCTGTTTGCTTAAACCAAAAATCACTGGAGTCATCCTTGACATTTCCCACTCCCTTATCTACCCTAATTCAATCTATTGCCAGGTCCTTTGGAGTCCATTCACAAATTATTTATTTAGTGTGCCACTTTGTTCCATTTCTACTGTTTCCACTGTAGGCAAAGCAGTGGTCTCCAAACCGGGGTGCAGTACCCAGTACCTCCGGACAGAGCCCAGACTTTCATGGATGTGAGAGTACTAATGGTTTTAAAGGAATCCTATTACAGATCCAGGTCTTCATATATATTCTTTCATAACATCATGAAGATTTGCCTTTCCTAACCCCTCTTTCAAAATCTCCCTTCACTCACTTTACAAGAGAAAGACAAGCTCTCACCCCTCTGGAATTCTACTATTGTGCTTTGCCCAGGTATAAAAATCTGCAAGAATGCCAAAGAGCCAGGGCAAAAATAATTATACCCAGGAGATAAGGCACCTCTTTTAATAATGAATTAAAGCGTCTACAGCACATTGTAGGGCTTCATCTTTGTCTTTGTTTCTGTGAAGAGCGGTGCTAGAAAAAGCAGCTATTGAAATGTCATGGACTCAGGTATATTGTACAGTGTGGGCAATGGGGTTAATGAGGACTTCGTTTTAATGGGCTTGTCTCTTCTGTACCCTGACTAGTGTCAAAGAATTATTTTCTCTTAGTGTCTAATGAATGCAAAACACAGAAGATCAGTAAGAAATATTAATCACTAAATAAAGCTTCTTTCATGCCTTAAAAATGCAAGCAATGTTTTTCAGCTGTTCATAATACTCATTTCTACCAGATTTCATTCACTAGAAATAAAAGCACCTTCAAACAGTAAAGCAGTACTGATTAGTGACACTAGTTATCTTTAATGTAACAAGACCACCAGGTTCTTGAAAACACTCTGGATAAGACCTGAAGGACTAAAATGTTTTGTGATTTCTTTTAAACTCATTGTTATAGGAATATGAAGTTAGTTAAAACATATTTTGTCTAATTATATTATAAACTATATACCCGCCTTACATTCATCACCTTATTTCATTTCATACATTATGTTATGTTTTCCATCTACTGTTAACAAAATTTATTTCCTATGCTGTATCAAATAGGGGTTTTTTTGGCTTCATATACTTTTCTTTTCATTAAGTGCATCTGCATATTTTCATCATAATGCATATGACATTCATGGAGTATTTCTGAGGTAGTCATTATGATTCTCACTTTATAACAAGGGCCAGTGACCAGTATTCAGTGCACGCCTGACACACACATTTACCAAAGCAATACCGTGTTTTAGTCACACCCCTGCCTTCATAAATAATTTATATTTTATCTACATATTGCATTGCATTATTATAATTTAAGTAGTAAGAAGTGTTATAAAGGTCATTCTTTTTTGTATAACTTACTATAAAAATGAATAAAGTATATCTATTGTCTTTAATCTTGATTGGTTTTAGTAATCCATTTTTTAAAAAATGCTTTCTACAAATTATTTCCCAGTGCTTTTTGTAATCATTTTTGAAATGTTTATTAATGAAATTATTTCAATGGAAAAATGAAGTCAGATCTTATGATAAAAAGTCAGACTAATTTGGCTAAATGATTTGACAATGCTAATTATATAGCATTTTCCATAAATTAAATGAGCTAAATCCACAGTCATGGTTTTGACCAAAAAAACAATTGAAAAACCTAAAAATATTGTCTTTAAAATTGTATTGGCCAAAGCATACTAAACTTTTTTTTTTTTAATTTTACTTTAAGTTCTGGGATAGAAGTGCAGAACGTGTAGGTTTCTAACATAGATATATGTATGCCATAGTGGTTTGCTGCACCTATCAACCCATCATCTAGGTTTTAAGTGCCGCATATATTAGCTGTTTGTCCTAACGTTCTTCTTCCCCTTGCCCTCCAACCCCTGCCTGGCCCTGGTGTGTGTTGTTCCCCTCCCTGTGTCCATGTGTTCTCATTGTTCAACTCCACTTATGAGTGAGAGCATGCAGTGTTTAGCTTTCTGTTCCTGTGTTAGTTTGCAGATGATGATGGCTTCCAGCTTCATCCATGTCCCTGCAAAGGACAAAGGACATGATCTCGTTCCTTTCTATGGCTGCATAGTATTTCAAGGTGTATATGTACTACATTTTCTTTATCCAGTCTTTCATTGATGGGCATTTGAGTTGGTTCCATGTCTTTGGTATTGCAAATAGTGCTGTGACAAACATACATGTGCATGTGTCTTTATAGTAGAATGATTTATATTTTGGGGGTTATATACCCCATAATGGTATTGCTGGGTCAAATGGTATTTCTGGTTCTAGATCCTTGAGGAATCACCACACTGTCTTCCACAATGGTTGAACTTACTCACATTCTCACCAGTAATGTAAAAGTGTTCCTATTTCTCCACAGCCTTGCCAGTATCTGTTGTTTCTTAACTTTTTAATAATCACCATTCTTACTGGTGTGAGATAATATTTCATTGTAGTTTGGCTGACTGGGACACTGTTGCAGTGAAGACTGAAATTGTTGAACCTCTTAAACACTCACCATTATGCTCAGGACATTAGCTTATTTTCTGCCCAATGCTTCAGTGTAAATAGGGGCTTTTTTCTATGAACCTTTAGGTAGCCCTTTTACAGTCATAAATATCACTGAAAAATATTACTTTTTTCTACTTCAAGAAAACTACCAGATATTTTAATTCTGTAACAAAAAGTGAACTTCTGAGAATTTTTTCATGCATTTTCTTTTTTTGACAAGCTTATTAGGCCACTGGATTCCTTGAATAAGTATAAAATGACTTACATTTTATAAAGCAACTTGACATAGGAGCAAATTCAGATAGCACTTTCAAGTATAAATTGCATAAATGGATAAAGAGTATAACATTGATATGGTATTATTTGGATTTTTAGCAAGACATTTGGTAAAGATTCTCATGATATGCTGATGGACACGACAGTGATATTGTGCTTAGGAGGTTTGTAATTCATGGGAAAATGTTTCTATGCTATATTGTTAGGCTCTCCTTGGCCTAATTCCATTCAAAGCTTTTATTAAACGGTTAGATATTGACATCATGGCATGCTGGTTTAGGTGCATACAACACAAAACTGGGATGGATACAAAAATGACTGAGCCAGGATCAAAGAGAATCTGAATAAACTGGAGCAATGCACCAAGTCTAACATGGTCGAGTTTCATGTGTAGAATATAGCTGGGTCCAAAAAGCTAACTTTGCCAAAACATAAGGAGGTACATGTGGTTTAACAATAGTAATCATGAACAAAATCTGCAGTGTTTTAGTTGATTGTGAATTTCTTGAGTTCACAGTATGATTTGGCTGAAGGTAAAGTTAATCAGCTATCTTGAGGAAGTGGAAATAGACATATTCTTTGATGCTTCAGAGTATATAACCAGAGCCCATGCATGAAAACTATAAGAGGGCAAGTTGACGTTAAATGTCAGGGGAAAAATGTCTGATTACTCAAGCTGTCTAAGTATGGATCCCACACCTTGAAAAGTAGTGAAATCTCTGCCAGTAGGAGGACTTGTTTGAAGCAGTCAGGAAAGTCTAAGTTGTTAAGCAGAGGCCTGACAATCATTTGAAGAGAATGTTGAAGGGGAAGTTGATACATTGGATGAGAAGTTTGAATCAATGAGTTATAAGATCCCTTCTAACTGACAAGTATTAATAAATAGAATACTGCGGAGCTAATGAACCACGCCCACAGCAGATACTCCACCACTTCCTCTACCACTGAGCTAGTGTGTGTACTTTGCAAACAACCAACAATTTGGAGTTGACACTCTTGAAACCAGTTAGTATTCTCTGTAGCTGTTGTAACAAATTTGTTCTTTTTTTTTAGACGGAATTTCACTCTTGTTGCTTGGGCTGGATGCAATGGTGTGATCTTGGCTCACTGCAACCTCTAC